GTTGTAATTGTCATGTGTTATCGAAATTTGCTAATTAAAAGATTAACGTGCATGTTGTATTTTTGAGCTGATGACTTTGATATGTTGTGTTCCTTCAAGACATGAATGATGATAACTCTCTACAACTTCCTATGCTCAGTAATTATTTTTGTACTGTCCTCTGTTTTGTGATCCATTTATGCAAACTTGTTAGGTAAGAGAAGATAGCTTCGCCTGTCGTCCAGTTCACACTCCTCCCCAGTCTTTTGAACAGGAATATAAGTTTATCTCTTGTTTTGGGATTTCGGTGTTACATTTCCGTTCTCTGTTAAAATATTTCCTAGATATTTTTTTTTGTTTGTTTTTGGTATTTCCAATTTGCAAATTCACATAAGTGTCATAGCGCAGATGTTTAAACAGGGACGCAATTTTAATGATTGCCATAGGCGCTATTGTACATAGACACTCCCCTGGATTGGTTATCTTTCAAGTTAATTTTAAGCGACATGCTCAAGCGTTCGAGAAAAAAAAAAAGAAGAAAATCTAACTTCAGTTATAGTCTCAGTAACACGAGAAACAAACCCAGTAAATCCATATATACTTATATTTTATATACACAGCGGATTTTTTAACATTCGGCAGATATAAATAAAACTTATCAAGAGAAGCATGTTAACTGAGTAGTGCTTCTGGCTACTCAAGGGCAGATAACTCGGTGTCAGAATTACTAGGCATTCACTCGAAAATTATTGGGGACGCGACATTGCTTCACTAAAGAATGCACTCCGTTGTTGTTTTTTTTATATTGTTTACAGCGAGTTTATTTCTGCTGAAAGCCATAAAAATGGCTAAGGTAAGTGGATGGTTACAGCTCTTTTCCCGGCTCACGTAAAGAAAATTAACTTTTAATCTCTACCTGTCATTTAAACTCATTCACGTCGGAGTAAAGAGGGACTTCGGGGATGAGTGTAAAGTATTCGAGGGGAGGGGAGACATATAGCAATCGTAAATATCTACATCTTCGTTTTCCGAGAAATATTTTGGTATGATTTGAAAAATCAATGTCAATAGGTGTATTTCAGGAGAGTTGATTAAAATTTACTGCACGTTGCTGCTGTCTAGGAATGTAAAAAGATAGATTGGGGAAGATACAAAGCTATGGTGGGGATAGATAGATCGTGAGAGGTAGAGAAAGAGAAAGAAAGTTAGAGAGAGAGAGAGCGAGAAAGAAAGGTAGAAAGAGATATAAAAAGAAAACAAGGAGCGAGAAAGAAAAGTAGAAAGATATATAGAAAGAAAACAAGGAGCGAGAAAGAAAGGTAGAAAGAGATATAGAAAGAAAAGAAAGTTAGAGTGAGTGGGGAAATGATATATACAGAAAAATATATTCAGGAAAATTAATAAAAAATGGGCAAATTTTTTCATGTGACGTGTTTCACCCTTTACGACTTTATCGATCAAAATTGATGTTTCCCTTGATGTAAGTACGCATCCGCACGAAGTGATATATATGTATATAAATAAATAAAAAGAAAATTTACTGAGTTTCCATATACTTCTAGCAATCAGAGAATACCGAGTAGAGATTGAAACCGTGAACTTTGTGGCTCGAGGGACAAATTTGTTAAGTCCATTGTCCGTTCTACGGTAGGAAAGATTCATGTTAAATAGCGGATGCTTTCTTGAAGATTGAATCTATCAAAATCAGGTAAATTAAGATAATTAGCCAAGTTCAAAAACTGAAATCAATCTCCTTCTATGCCTCTCTTTCTCTCTCTTTCACCTATTCATATACGAGATTACATATATGTGTGGGTGTTATTTTTTTCTTAATTTTTTAGGTTTATCTATGGAAAAACATCCGTGGGCCGGACATGCGCATGTAAAAAAAAAAAAAATAGAAAATGAATTTGATCCATGCATACTGATTTTCCATTGGTCTAATCTTGCAATATTTGATTATAACCTTTGCTTTTAAATTGAAAACTGAGAAACTAGATAGCGGAAAAGATCAATTTCGTGGAAGAATCAAAAGTCAATCAATGTAGATCTTTTAAAATAAAAATGCAATTTGATATATTTCAACGTGCGCGTAAATATTTACAGAATTCCTTTAGATGGCATTAGGAACGTTTAGTTTTAACTTCATTATTTATTATTTTTTATTATACTGCTGTAGCAGTAGTATCAACGTGAGTTTTTTTGTTAAGATTGGCGTAATTTTCTTCAGTCAGTTAAGTGCTATACGTGATACACGATTGGGCGATCATGTCTCTTTCGATACATGACTGACGTGTAGGTTGCCATTTCTTTCTGCGGTAGACTGGTTACCAGCCAAGGCTAAAGAACCCAGTCTGTCCTGCTATTCAACCCATAGGGGGAAGAGATGGATTCATACCTTCCCCAATGGTATTTGTGCCTAAGTGAATCTAACGAATTCAACTGGAATTCGAACTCTGCTCTACGAGTTCTCACTTCGAACAGATATCCATTACACTACAACGTACATCTATTGATTCTAATATTGAAGGTGGAATAAAATAAACCACATTATTATTTTTTGTTATTTTGCAGAAGGTGAAAACGTGACACAAAGGAAATAAAGATTTGGACAGTTTACGCGGAAGGTATTCTAAATGATCAAATATGTTAAAAGAAGTTTGCCAAGTTTCTTGCTGGAAGAATTGCTCCACGGTTGGGTTGGTTGATTTTACAAACCTTGGGTTATTTAATGCCGAATTTTGTATGGTGCCGCCGGTGAGGATCAAGCTCATTACAAATGTTTAGATTATTTACATTGCTCGGGCTGTTATTAGCTTTGTTGCCATATTCACGACGTTTCAGTTGATTGGAATTTCGAACTGAACCTTGAAGAAGGCCGGAGCGTACAACGGTCGAAACGATCGTGAATATAGCAACAAAAATGAGGACAACAGTCCAAACAACGTAAATAGTGTAAATAGTTACAATATCTCATCTCAGAAATATAGACAGTCATTACAAATGGTCAAGCAGATCAACCTTGCTAATCATTATTCCATTCCGAGGTGCTTTTCAGCAGCCAGGGAGACCAATTGAGAGCGATAGCAATCAAGATATTAGTGGAGAGTGATAACTTTATATTATGCATAATAAAATATTTAAATCAAGCGTTTAATGTCATTTGCACCAACTTGGATATGTTAGTCGATTTGATGTGTGGTTTTCCATATAAGGCAGAAAAAAGTCAAAGATTACTGTATTATTGTGTGAAATCGTTATTTAAATTCGCAATAGAAATGTCCAGTTTTAAAGAAAAAATAATGACGGTGGATGAAAAGTGGATATTTTACAACAACATGGAGCAACCGTATATACTATAATTAGCCGTACCAAATGCTGTGCATATGGATTGGAATTAAATATAAGGAAATTATGAAGCAGAAAAGTACTGCACCCAGTAATCAATGTTTCTTTTGGTGGCCGGACAAAAATTGTAGCTTGACTGGAGATTCTTCACTCATTCACCTTATTTCTCAGCTGTCTCTTATCATCGAGTTCGGCTTCTTCTTTTCTTTTTTTGACATGGGGATACAAAAGCGAAGGAGACAAACAGATATACAAACAAGATAAAGGGAGAGGGCGACACACACACACACACACACACACACGCACACGCACACACACACAAATGAACATACCAGAGGGAGAGAGAGAAACACACGAGCACACGAAGGAGAAACAACATACACATGAACATACCAGAGAGAGAGAGAGAGAGAGAGAGAGAGAGAGAGAGAGAGAGAGAGAGAGAGGATGAAATACACACGCACACAAGAGTGCTTCATTTGTCAACTTAATACAAGACAAATCTCACAGCATCGGATTTTAAGTAACAATTATGCGAAGTCAGCGTATAACGTTAGTCTTCTTTTCTGAGCCAATAGGATTTATTCGTTTTCACAACTATCTCAGTAGGAAGCACATTTCTTTTTCTTTCAAACTTGACAGTCCGTGGGCGCATGCACAGACGTATAAATGTGCAGATGTGTGTGTTTTGTGTGTGCGTCTATCCCTTGTTTCAAAGATTAAAAACAAAAGAAAAGAAACGATTACTAGTGGTTCTGGGTGGAGTGAAGTAATGCAGTGTCAAACCTCCAACAATGACAACTTCTGCATTACGCATCACTTATTCGACCACAAGCGAAGATGAGCTTTTGGTTTGTGAAGAGCAATACAATGGTTTGTGTACAATCTAACAGGGTGAAAATGCATTTATATTTTTGACATGGCATTCACGCTGTCATTGTCACCGATATCTGATGAGACGAATGACTTAACACCTTTGATATTTTATATCTTCTCGGCACAAAGTCAAATAATGGGGCGGAGGTAAAAAGATTGTGTTGCACCAAGTGTGAAGACTGGTTAACGATATATATTTCAATAAAGAACACTTGCGGGTCTAGCACGATGGTAAGTTTCTGTGTCGGATGGTATGTAAGTTAAGGCCTTATCGGAAGATACTAATTTTGTTCTCCCTTCATGTCTTTTTAACAGTAGGAATAGAGATGATAGCCTATCGCCCGGTTTATACTCTACTGCGGTCTTTTGAACAGGAGTAGAGGTGTATCCCCTTTTCCCTCTTTAGGACTGAATTCCTGGTTCCTTCTAAAGTCTATTTCAAATATATACTTATATAACATCTCTCAACCCATGAACTGTGAAATTTTATTTATTTATTTATTTATTCTCCTCAATAGGAGTCGATAGGTTCGCCTATCGCCTGGTTCAAACTTCTCCATGGTCTTTTGAACAGGAGTAGAGGTTTATATTTGTTTAGGATTTTGGTTCCTTCTAAAGTTTTTTTCATTTTCTTTTACTCCCAGTAGCCCCCACTTACGTGTTTGTGGCATTATTGCCTTACTTGGGATGAACTGATTAAAAAAGAAAATTAAGTGAAGTTGTTTAATCTACGAGTTCGCAGCATTCCATTGATACAATTTGAATGAAGTGGAAAAGAATATGGCGAATTAATATTTTCAGGGAAGAGAAAGAGAAACCTGAAAGACAAAGAATTGGGGAGAGATAGAGAAGGAACCCTGAAAAGAGATAGATAGATAGATAGATAGATAGATTGGGGGAAGAAGGTGAGAAAATGCTAAAGTAAGAGAGAGAAATTCAAAAGTGAAAGAGAGGAAAGAGAGACAAGTCAAAGAAAGAGAGAGAGAGAGAGAGAGACAGACAGACAGACAGACAGACAGACAGACAGACAGAATGAGAGAGAGAGAGAGAGAGAGGGGTGAGGATGAGGAACAAGAAAGAGATACAGTTCGTGTCAGATTAGGCTAAAATATCTAATTAAACTACTTTTGAAAGCCAATCGCTACTAAATTTGTAACCTAAGTTTCTTCAGCATATTTTAAAGTTAAGCCCAAAGGTTTTAAGTAGGGAATTACAGAATGAGTAGCACTTGGCTAATAAGAGCAGCCCAATCTGATGACTTTAAGGACGGGGAGAGAGATAGATAGATATATAGACGGACACAGCGATATAGAGACAGCGATATACAAGGGTGTATCAAAAATAATTTTACAAACATTGGTGACGGGTTCCTGGCATCAAAACAAGGTAAAATGTCCCTATAAACATATGTTCAAAAATCCATCGTTGTACCTCAAGTACACCAGCTCATAAAAAATGTTCAAAATGTCCTCCTCTTGCTTCTACATACGTAAGCACCCATCGGAACTTTGACCGGTGGATCCTTTCAAATATTCCCACACGATGACTAAGGGTTTCGCATACCCCCATGACACTATGATGAAGTGTCATTATTAATATCTGCTGCATAAACCAATTGTTTTAGGTCACCCCACAGATAAAAATCCAAAGGATTGTGGTTGTTAGAACGTGCAGGCTATGGAACCGATCCTCACCTGCCTATCCATATTTCACGGTAGATGTCAGCCAGTGCATTGCAACAATGTGACTAAAATATGTTGGAGCCCAGCATGCATGAACCACATACGTTTTCGTATTAGCAGGGGTACATCTTCTAGCAGGTCCGGTAGTGTGTTCGAAATAAAGTCCCTGTAGACAGCTAATGACGTACTGGGAGAACATATGAACGTACCAGACAAATACAATTTCAGTCCACACATTAATCGTAAATTGATGCTGGTGACTAGCCTGTATTATTATATGGGGATTCAACCCCCCCCACCAAAAAAAAATATTGGCTGCGTAAATTTCCATCTCTTCAAAGAGACAAACAACGGATTGGCAGTTTATGCAATAAACTATCGGCAAAAGTTCTCCCATGGAGGGCGAAATAAGCCGCAGACGTTATAAATGAATACGGATACAGGAGTTGCTCTTGAAGTACTCTTCATGTGGTACTATGGGAGATACGACATGCCAGTGCCACTTGACATGAGCTGATCCGTGGATCGTCTTCGACAGCCTGTAGAATGTGTTCTTCGTGGCCAGGCGTATGAGCGGATCTCTATCTTCTTCGATCCATAATTTGTGTTGTCACGGTTCCTGTCTCAGCAACGAGACGATAAACAGAAGGAAAGGTTGGATGACTCGGGTGCCTTCGGCCTGGAAACGCAATGCAACCTCGCGTCCATTACTATTCGCGTCCATTACTATTCGCGTCCATTACTATACGCGTCCATTACTATTCGCGTCCATTACTATACGCGTCCATTACTATTCGCGTGGCCGTATGTTAAAATCACATCTGCCTGCTCACGATATGAATATCCTGCCATTGTTAAACGGAACACTTCTCAGTTAACTCGCTACTACACACGTTAAACGTTGACGGCAGACTAGACACAAAGGTACACGAATGGCAAATGTAACCTAGTCTACGCGGCAACACAGCGCCATCTACCGTAAACTTTCTTTAAACTTAATAAGTAAAAATCGAAGAATTTGTGGACATGTGTTTATATGGAATTTGTCCTTGTTTTTATGCGAGGAACCCGCCAACAATGTTTTGAGAAGTATTTTTGATACACCTTGTATAGACAGGGAGGTAGATAGAGACATAGAGTTTAGATAAATGGAGAGAGCTCTCTCTCTCTCTCTATATATATATATATATATATAAGAAAGTGTGTGAGAGAGAGAGAGAGAGAGAGAGAGAGAGAGAGAGAGAGAGAGAGAGAGAGAGAGAGATTCAGATTCATCACGAAAGTCAACGAAAGAAAGAATGATGAACCGAAGATAAAAATGCGCGGCTAGAAACCAGAGAAGAAATTTGAGGAAGAGATTTAATGCTACTGTATGTATATTAATGTGTGTGTGGGTTGACACGTGTAGGTTAGCTGACGAAAATTTTATTTCGGTGGAAGTAAATGATTTAGAGGATCTGCCTTTGTGTATGAAAATGATATGGATGTTACGGGCTGGCATTTTAATAGAGAGGCAGGTACGTATGAGCGAACACTTGGGGGTCGGTAAAATTAAAGAGACATAGAAACTTGAATGCATAATCTTTCATTAGTAAGATGGAAAAACTTGCTGAACACAGAATTTGTAATCCGAACCAAGCAATAATAAAATGCAGTAAAACTAGTAATTAAATAATAATAATAATAATGAAGAGTGTATTGACCCAAAGTGTTGCGATAAAAAGACAACCAATAACCACATGGTTTAAAAGCTTGTCATAAAATAAAAGGAATAAAAAATGAATTGAACCAGAATAGGGGGGTTAAAAAGCAAAAGAGTAATAAGGTAGAATAAAACTAGCAATAAAAGTGACAATGGAAATCTTCAATCTAAAAAAAAAAAAAGAGAAAAAAAGCGAAAACAAACAGCTTAAAAAGCTTCTTTAAGTAGACAATAAAATAAAAATGCCTGAGAAAATAACGTGCGGTTAGCGCAATGGTTATCGAGTCGGACAGAGGAATCGGCAAGCAGAATTCAAATTCCCGGCAAAGTGTGTAGCGTTCAGTTTCGCTTAGAAAGGACATAAGTGCATCTATTCTTCCCTCAGGTATGGGTTAATAGCAGGGTAGACTTGTCTCTCTAGCCTTTGAGGTGGAGTTTAGGTGGAGAACAACAACAATTCTAACGGGAAATCGTTCCCCAAGAAATAATAATTTGAAATGAACCTACGGAGAGCCATGATCGTTTACGTTCTGAAGAGACATGGAATTAAAATAATAATTAAAAAAAATATGATGATGCAGAGGCTTGGGTATGAGAATGACTGCAGCCTTTTTTTTTTGTTAACGTATCTGTTAGCCACAGTGTAAGCGACGTCCATTCTGACGCGGGTCTATTTGCTTTAATAAAGGAGGTTCATGACCTAAAGTTTTATATAATAAGGTTTGTATTAATCGAGAAAAATTAACCTTACAAATTTTTTTCGATCAACTGAACTCCATTCAGTTCTTGATGTTTGAGGCACGTCTTTTCGGAAGCTTCAACAAGTGTATTCGTATAAAAATGCAAATAAATCCCCCAAAACAAACAGAGAAACAGAAACAACAAAAATGACAGAAAAAAAATCTGACAGAAAAACTGACTGAAAAAACAAAACAAAAAAAAAATCAAAAAAGAAAAAAAAACAGCAAAAAATAAACGAAAAAAATCAAAAACAAAAAGTACAAGCAAAACAAAGAGCAAAGCGAAGCAAAAATAGGACAAAAATAGGACAAACAAAAACAGGGCAAACAACAAGGCAAAAAAACAAAACAAAGCAAAATTGCAAAGCCCCAAAGGATCCTTATATCCCCCCTCCTAAAAAAAAAGGTCAGCTCTTCAGATTGGGTAAATGAAAATTGATCGTTAAGGGACAAGCCGGATTATTCCATTTCAGCCATACTTGATGCGCAGATGAAATCTGTACACAGGCAATTCCAATGTATAAAATTGGGAGAGTCACCCAACACTTTTTTTTAAGCAAAGTAAACAAAATGGCACTGAAATGAATACAAACCAGACTAAAAGGAGTGCAATAGTTTCAACAAAATTTCGAACGAATTCGTGATATTTAAAACCTCAATTTTATTTCGGGTGTTTGGTTTGCGAGCTTTATCTGTTTCTGTTGTCAATTAGGATGCGTTTAAAACCCACTGGGACTAATGAATAGTCAAAGTGAACCTAGTTTATTATAATAAGTTGTCCCAAAATTCAAAATTTACTTACATTCATTCGCCAAAAGTAACCTATGACAATGATGGATTTGGATAAAATTCCGAATGACATCATGAAATTTCCTCTGTATTTGCCTTTTCCCTCGTTGTGCACCCGGCTATCTAGTAAAATAATAACTTTCTTTTGCAATGACATTTTATATTAGATATATAAATTAGTTGTAGTAGTAGGCAGATTTTTAATAAATACAATAAAAATATTTTTCAAATCCCCTGAAGAGTATCACTTATTTATCAGCATTCTTAAGGACAGGTCCCTCAGCTAATTTCGCTTCTGAAACCAGATTCATGGATAACAAAAGGAAAAAAAAAACAGTATCAAAGCGAAGGACAATCCAGCAGTACTTACCATTTACCGACCTCAATATAAACTCAGGAAAAGGGGGTTTCAAAGTCAGTTCTCTCTACTCTTTCACTATAAAGGGGGAAAAGATTGATCCAATCCGCTAACGCTTGCTACAAAGAAAGAGGAGTCTCTCTCTTTCCCGGTTCCAACGTATGTCGAACTGCGAAATATGCTGCATAAGAAGGATTCCATTTTTATTCAGAAAAAAAAAACCCTTCCAAAACAACTTTGGCGAAGAACAATCGAACAATGGGGAGAAAGCATCGAGAAACAAAACAAATAGAACGTCATTATCAAAGTTAAAAGGTGATATTTCATCAAAATTAGAAGCTAATTTACATGAATATATATATATACATACATACATACATACATACATATATATATATATATATATATATATATATATATATATATATATATATATATATATATATCAAGGGCTTGCGGTCGTCACAAGATTCTCCTGGAGTATTCTCGGAATAGTGTTCCACCCATCTCCATTTGCTGCCCTTGTCTACGATGACTTCTCCCGCCAGTAGTGGATTTGAGGGCCCTCTACCAGTGCTGGAAAGAAGGGGCCATATTTCAGGATATGAGAGATGCCAAGATCGTCAGCGTCTAAAAGAACAAGGGTGAGCAAAGCGACTACAACAACTACAAAAGCATCTCGCAACAGCCTCTACAGTCACAGATATCGATGCTCCAGGTAAGTAGACAACTGCTACAACTGCTAGGATGCTACCCATGGTCAACCCTGACCGATGGATATATATATATATATATATATATATATATATATATATATATTATATATATATATATATTAAGAAATGGACAAAAGAACGTTAAACATAAAATGTCTTTAATAAATATATATATATATATATATATATATATATATAAAACAAACAAACGCACCATATTGGGTGTGATAGAATGAGAGGAGGAGGATGTGATGAATGACGGAGTAGGGGGAAGAGAAGGTATATATATATTTTATATTAATATTAAAAAAATTCCTCTTAAACAGGCTGGATAAAAATATAAAATATACAATTAAATTAACCACCCACCGATACATTTATAATATCATTGCTCTTCTTCTTTATTCACATTATCATCTCTTTGTATCACACCCGAGGTCGTGCGTTTGTTTGTTTATTTTTTCAAAAATAATATAGCGTTCCTTAGCTTTTTAAAAAATAAAGCGTTGTGAGTTCAATTGATAACCCCCCCCGCTGAAAAGCAGATTGAAAACTGGACTCAGCAGTTTATTTATAAACAGAAGTAAATTATCTTCATTTTTTCAAAATGTTTAAATTTAAGAACGCTGAAAAGTATTCTTAAGACTATGACAGAAGTGATGTAATTTCATACGTAATAAACGAATGGGGATTTTCTAAGCGTAGCTTACATGTGGCACAAGGCCGAAAATATGGCGCACCCAGTGAGGATCGAACTCATTACAGAGTCGTATTTAGTCTAGCGAAATAAGTAAGCTAACCATTACAATACGTCGAGGTGCCACATTACCTAATAAACGAATGTGAGTAAATCTTATTGTTGAATTTTTCATTTTATTGTTTATGTACAGGATGCGATGGGTAAATTATCGCCATTTTATATTTTTAATTTCGCGCATGCGCGTTGTTTGTTTTTAATTTTGTCGCCTGCACAGTATAGTAGGGTCAGTTGGGCACCGTCTGTGAGAAAGAGAGCATCATGCCAGAAATTTGGAAACGGTATGCTCTACTGCTTGGCATTCACACCGGAAGTTCCGATGCGAACATTTCAGAGTTTTTTGGGTATCAATCTGAGTACAGTGCAGAGGATTCGGAAAGAGTTGGATGAGTCTAATGGTGATTACGAAGATGTTTGAAGAGATGACAAGTGATGGCGACGTTATGCCTTCATTCATTTTCCCACTTTGTTGGTGAGGGCCTCAGACAACACGGAGGCCTACATCTTGAGGTGGTAGTGCTGCTCTGGATCAAGAGGGTGGCTGCTGTTGCAGAGTCCTGTCTGGCAACAGGACTCTGCAACAGTCGTAGGTGTCAGACAATTTCTGCGACCACATCATCCCTTACATCTGGCCACCTAACTCCCCAGATTGAACCCCCAGAGAGACCAACAAAACTCCTTTGCAAAAATGAATGGAAGGCAAGGATTATAACAGCATTTACCAACTTAGACAAAAAGACCACCCAGAAGAGTTGCAGGAAATTCCGAAGTCGTCTGAAAGTCCGTGGTTGAAGCCAATGGCAATTTTATTGAATAAATTTACTCTTTCGTATTTCAAGATATTTTGGGGTAATTTTGGTAAATATATCTGTTAAAATGAGATATCAGGGATATTTTCATTTTTGCGTCATTTAGACGATAATTTATTCATCTCACCCGGTGTGTATATATATTTGTTTACTTTATATGTACATGTCTTTACTTGTGAGAGATAAGGACTTATTTTTGCCAAATTTTACTATAGGCTCAAACACTTCAAGAGTTTGCTGTTTGAGCTCAGATGTAAAACGAATTTTTTAAAAAATTTTTACGGATAGATTTTATAAGGTACTCTTCATTTGGAATATTGTATTTCATCATTTTACACCCCACCTGTTCACTATGATATGTTGCAAAGCTTTGTAAATAATAAAATGAAATGAAATAAAAGCCATTCCTTCATATTTCCTGTGACTCAAATTTCGGTGAATTGATTCCTTATCTTTTTGTTGGTCGGATGCTTTCCTCATGTGGAACAATATGCGAACCCGTTTTCTTTCCGATGAGAATTTCTTTTATCAGGATATCCTAGAAATGGGAAAAAATCACAGGGATTGTAGACTCATGCCTTTTCAAAAGGTTATTATTGCAAAGTGAACACAAGCAATTTCAACTGAAAT